TATATATATATATATATATATATACACACACACACACACACACGCACACACACAGAGAGAGAGAGAGCAAGAGAGAGAGGGAGAGAGAGAGAGAGAAAGTGTATTATACTTAACACACAACATTCATTCTGTTGTGTTTGTCTCATTATTCTTATCATCAGGAGTTCTTTTGCACAACATGCAAGGAGAGGGACTAAAACTGCACCCCTGCATGCGTTACGTCCAGGGTGCCATTGTTTATTTTACCTAGAAAATACCATTTGAATTAGTCATTTTCATTATTGACTTATCATTTATGTGCAGCACTTTCTGACAACAGCGTTTGCTCTGCAGCACTGTATGAATAAAGTTGTGATGAGTTTTAATGACGGTAAATGATTACAATGACATTGGAAATGTTCTTATCCAAATGTTCTCCTCTGGAAATATGTTGAACTGACTTCACTGACTTGAATAGTGCTCGTATGCCGCTCTGCATTGTAGGTTGGCCCAAACATATTGGAGGTGAGCGAGAACGTAAACCACGGTTTCCTGCACAGGTTAATTGCTGTGTATTTGTCAAAAACATGTTAAAAATGCAAGAAACTGCTGGTTTGGATCGATTTACGAAAACAATGAAACCTGCTGCTTCTGATGTGTGATAAAAATACAAAGGAATGTGTTTTCTTTTTAAACTTCGTTTTTATGGTCGAGTGGTTAGCGCGCCGGCCTCACACTGCAGAGGTGCAGGGTTAAATTCCGGCTCCGGCCTTCCTCTGTGAAGTTTGCATGTTCTCCCCGTGCCTGCGTGGGTTTTCTCCGGGTCCTCCGGTTTCCTCCCACATTCCAAAAACATGCATGGCAGGCTGATTGAACACTCTAAATTGTCCCTAGGTGTGAGTGTGAGCACGGATGGTTGGTTGTCTATATATGTCTTGCAATTGGCTGGCAACCAGTTCAGGGTTTACCCCGCCTACTGCCCGATGACAGCTGGGATAGGCTCCAGCATGCCCCGTGACCTTTGTGAGGATAAAGCGGATCACCAAATACATGGATAGATGTTTTTAGTCCACTCAAGCGAGACAAGATATCATCGTCTACTAAACTAACATTTCAACAATTACATTCACTGATACAACTTATAACACAGAACATCATCTTTGATAGTTCCTTTTCACACACACATCATGAGTGGCTGTGTGTGGCCCGACTGAAGGAGGAAACGCAAATGGATTCCGGATATTTATTCCAATCTTTAATTTTTGCCCTTTTCAATGTGACTTAGGGCGTCACCCTGGCGCTCTCTATTGATGATAGAGACTTGCAGAACAAAACAGCTCCAAAAGTTATGATCACTCCTCCATTCAAAGTTGAAATGATGTTGACATGAAACACAGTTGTCTGCCAACTGCAAAGAACAGTTCGAATCCTCATGCCAACAAGTGACTCATTCAGCAGAACAGTGCCAACATGCTCTTTCACGGAAATGTGACTTTGCCATCCGAAGCAAAAAAAGGGCACACCTCAAAAGTGTACGGATTTTAGCTGATTAACAATATTTACCTAACTCTTGTCAGTTAAAGTAAAATGTATGTTGCGACACCCAAATCCAGGGATTACCTTGTTAAATATTTGCGAGAAGAACATCATCTTATCGTCAGCATCCCCGGGCTACAAAACAGGTAGTGTTAAATCCACATCAGAGGGGGAAAAAAATGTGCTTTTTTTGTTTCACATTCAATCAAATAAAAAGCTTGCATCACAACCTCTTCGACTTCGTTAGGTCCGTATGTATGACCGCCAGAAGTCTCACTGTGGAGATGAAATATTTTGCAAAGGTAAAGGGGTAGATTGGAATGCAAGCACAAATTCTCAGAGGCACTACAAAGAGACTTACTGGATATGGGCCTCTGCCTTGGAGAGGATGGTCAGGATGAAGGAAGCGGTCTCGTTGGGCTTGAAAGTTGACGGTACAATCAGGTATTCCCCGGGCTCCAACAAGACGAGCTCCATCACCTCGCGAGCGTTGACATAGTTTTTAGTCTGCACCACCGGTTTGTTTCGACTGAAGAAATCTGCTGGAAACTTCCCTCTCTGCGCCTTCAACTGTAATTCGGTTTCACACATGACATTTCGAGTAAAGCTCTGTCATAAGATGAGATGACATGAGATTGACGGAAGTATACTCACTTCTTCTGGTACCTAGGATTTGATGGAAATTGGTTCATGTTCGGGACAAAAACAAAAACAAAAAAAAAAACATCGTCATTCATCATTACTTATAT